GGTCAGTTTGAAGGATTCCATTGCATCTATTTCTGGGGCTTGGTGAGCCCGCCAGACTGTTATCAGGAAGTAAAAGTTGCTATTTAGGGAGGAGGGTACCGCTTAAGTGGTAGAGCGCATGCTTGGCATACACAGGGTCCTGAGTTCAATCCCCAGTACCTCTTCTAAAAACCTAATTGCCTCCCCACATAAAATAAAACATATTTTTTAAAAAAGGTTGCTGTTTAAAACATTCACTGCAGAAGGGGTCCCACGGAAGAAAGTAAAAGGAACAGAAGCCATTACTGTATTTTCCTCACTGTCTACAATTAGCATCTTTTTATTTAGGCAGGGTCCTCCCTGCTAGAAAAAAAGCTTTGGAGGACAGAAATCTCTACACCATAGATGCTCAATAAATGAGTCAGAGGAACATTTTCTATCCAACCATTTTTCACCAAGAGGGCCCGGAACTCAGTGCTTTGCGATCAGGGGGGATTCAGGTTTCCAGAGCCATCTTAAAGGAAAAGAATGCAGTATTAGGATTTTGTTTGTTTATTAAATCAGGTGCTGGGCCTTGTAAGGAGCCCACACAGAGTGGGGCCCTGACACACTGGCTGTGAAAGCCTCAGGATAAACTCACCCCTGGATGTCCTTACATGATTTTCAGAAAGAGAGGGAACCTGACCAAACACGGGTAGGAAGTGGTGGGTTAAAAATTAAAATTTTGAGATAATCATGGGATTTTTTTTAAAAGCTTTATTATATTTATTAAAGCCACCAGTTTGAAAATCCAATTCTTTGTGAAGCCTTTAAATGCAACTTACAAATCTTACTAGGCTGTGTATATACAGTCTGCAGGTGAATGATCACTTTTAAGGGGTCTTTTGCACTAGAAGTATTGAAAAGTCCCCAGTGGGACTCTGACAAGCTCTCAGGCAGCTTCAACCTCTGAGAGGGAGGGATAGAAGGAAGCTCCCTCCACACCCTCCCAGACTAGGGGGCTGGGGGTCTTGCTCAGGGGACTCTGGTCCACGACTTTACAAATCTTTTTTTTTTTTTACATTTTTTATTGATTCATAATCATTTTACAATGCTGTGTCAAATTCCAGTGTTCAGCACAATTTTTCAGTCATTCATGGACATATACACACTCATTGTCACATTTTTTTCTCTGTGATTTATCATAACATTTTGTGTATGTTTCCCTGTGCTATACAGTGTAATCTTGTTTATCTGTTCTACAATTTTGAAATCCCAGTCTATCCCTTCCCACCCTCTACCGCGCCCCCCCCCCACGACTTTACAAATCTTAATACTAAAGAAACAAAGCACTTTTCTGTGCACTGAAACTCCACAACATCTCAGGGCCTCCTGGACATGCCCAGGGATCAGAGAGGTTGAAGGTCCAGCCTGGGGTCACACATGAAACCCTTGGCAGAGTGGGGACCAGCTCACAGCCCAGAGTCGCTCATCCCTTCTGCCCAGGGAGGATGTGCAGGAATGCCCAAGGGGGCCAGAAAAGCCGCCCCATCACCCTTCCCCAGGCCCTGGAGTGTGGACTCGGATTAGGCAAAGCAGCTCCAGGGCGCTGGGAGGAGGCCCTTGTTCTTGCAGGCCGTTTGCATAAGTCTGCGGTCAGCTGTGTTACCTCCTTCCTGTAGGCCAGGCTGGGCTGTCACCCAGTGTAGCTGACACTACCTGCTGAGCAGAGACTGCAAGACACCAAAGCAGGCGCTGTGGTGTTGGGAATTATACACCCGACCCAGGGTGCTAAGGCCAGAGGGCCTCAGACAGCACAGCAGGGAGACTGAGGTCCTCACCTATCACTCACAAGCCAAAGCCACACCCCCGGCTTCCTTAGAGACGAATTTCCACACTGGGTTCCAATCCCAGCTCCTCCGCTTATGAGCTGTGTGACCAGGGGCCAGGCGCGTGGCCTCTCTGAGCCTTACTTTCCCACATGCAAATAGGGGAGACGGGGTGCTCCTACCACTACTTCCCGTGGGGCTGTACAAGACAGAAGTAACGTGGCCCAGCTGTGCAGCACAAACCGTGCTGAAGTAACGAGCTTGTGTCTGTGAACCTGTGTGCCAGGCCCTCAGGTAACTTCTTTTGCCAAGAATGTGTAAACCCTGTGAGGGAAATGTTACTACTAACAATGGGTCTTGTCTCTACCGTGCTTGACGGATTACAGAGAACTCTTCCAGTCAATGTACTCACCTACTGGTTCCTCACTTCTTTGTTCTCTCATTCACTCACTCATTTATTTGTTCATTCATTCATTCATTCAACCAACCAACTCCTCCCAGAGCATCTACACTATTACAAGCCCCAGACTCAGCACTAGAGCCGGGGGAAAAGACCCAGTTCCTGTTTGAGTGGCTGACAGACTGTTAGGGCAGGTGGCTGGAAGGGGGGCAGTTACAGTTCTGTGCTGTGAACGCTGGGATGAGGCACCCCCAGGAGGAAGCTGTGGGGGTGCAGGAGGCAGAGGGTATCTTGGAAGAGGTGGTGGCCACACTGGGAGCTCAGCAAAGCAAAAGCTGAAGACCTTGGTGGACCCTCTTTAGCTAGAGCATGGATGTGACCCTGAGGGCACTGGGGAGCCCCTGAGGGCTGGGGAGCAGGGGCTCCTCACTGGGTCCAGGCAGACACACACAGGGCTCGCTTGAGGGCAGGGGTGGGAAGGGCAATGCACGGGAGATAGGCAAGCAGGATCCAAGGTGGCGGGCAGAGCCAATGGCTCACCTTCCCAAGCTCTGGCCTGGCCCCAAGAGGAGTGGGAAGCAGGAGGCTGCACATGGACCCCCAGGACCTGTGGGGGTACAGCCTCCACCCAATCAAGCCTAGAGGGTATACCGGATACCATCCGTGGTACTGAGCGAGGCCAACCTGACCAAGACTGTCCATGCTGGTTAGAAATGCAGAGTCCCAGGCACCACATTTTAGCAAGATTCCTGGGTGATCTGCACACACACTCATGCTGGGAAAGAACCAGTGTGGAGCTCGCCGTTTCATCACATCCTTGCAATGGGGCCGCTGGGCAACATGGTCAGGGCTCAGATGCTAGAACCCCAGAGTGGGAGGGGCCTCCACCAGCACTGCAGCCTCCTGCTCACACAGCACCTGGGCGCCCCACCTCCCCTCCAGCCCTAGCATCAGACGGCCACTACGCATGGGCATCTCAAGGTGGGTCCCCAGGACCCCACCAACAGTGGAATGACATCAGTCCTATCTGCCAAACGCCAAAGAACCCAGCTCAGAGCAGAAGCGTCCTGTACATATCTGCTCATCTTTAATGCTCAAATCAAATCCGCATTCACTTTACAGATGAGGAGACAAGCTCAGAGAAACAGAGCAACTAATACAAAGTTCCCCAGCAAGTGATACAGATGATTCAATATGGTTTGTTTCCCAAGTCTGGGTTTTCTTCTCTGCTTCCCCCAAGTCTGATAAGTAAACACATGTGGAATTTGAACCTGAGGCCTCTCACCAAGCCAAGACCCATGGACCCCAGGCCCATAACAGAGAGCTGTGTGGTGGTCCTGGCCACCAGCACAGGTACTGGCCACCTGGCACAGAGCACGTGCCCACCAACTTCTAAAGGAATGAAGGGTGCCCTTGATACTTCTATGTTCCAATATCCAGGTGTTCCCACCTGTCCTCACTCCTCAACCTGTGACCCCAGGAAGCCCACCTTGCCCTGGGAAACCACTCCACCCTCCACCCCTGCCTGCCTTTGGCGGATGGTACCCAGCCCTGCTCCCTCACAGCTCTGGGAAAAAACAATTTACATTTCCAGCCCCTGGGCCACAGTGATTGGCTCAGCCCTGGGCACGTGATTCCCAACAGAGCCAATGAAAAGCCAGGGAACCTTTGGCTGGTCACTGTTCTGGCTCCTTCACTGGGCTAAGTGAATGAGATGTGCACAATTCAAGAGGTCAGTCCTGACTGCATTTACTTCTGCCTTTAATACAATCAGATTGAGACAGGAGGCCACCAGAACCTAGAGACCACCAGACTCTGAGCTCTGGAAATGGATGCTCTGAGAATACGACGCACTGGATTAACAACATGCCTTTGCTTAGACAGACAAAAGAAAGTGGATAGTATTTACATGTTGGTTTCTATAAAAACTGAGGTCAAACTTAAGTCTGTTTACTAAGAAAAAAGACATTTTCCTGGACTATTAAAAGGTTTAAAGTTCCAAGACTGTAACTTTGAGACTCTGAATGTTTATTTTAGGAAACTACATCTGTTAGAAAGTTTGTGGCAAAACGATATCCACCTGATGTTGGAAACGCTGCCTGCCATATTTCAACTCAAAGATTCCTCACCAACTTTGTGATCAGCGCACCGACTAGGACCTCTCACGCACCTGGTTCTAAGTAACACAAGTACCACCTAAGACCGAACACACTCTCCTAGAAGAAGGTACACAGTAAGGCGTTCTTCCTTATAAAAAAGTAACCCAATCAGCTTCTAAGAGAGTCATGTTAAATACACAGTGTAGAAGCGGTGATTTTCCTTGACAGAAACCCGAGGCTGCCAACCACCATCTTGCCTGGGGCTGGAACTACCAACCAGAGGAACCACCAGAGACAAGAGATGTTGTCATGACAACATCCACGCCCCTGAAATGAGCTGCACCACAACCAACTTGTCTCCGAGTGCCCAGCACTGGGCGCAATCCTGGCATTCAACAGGTCCACATTCGTGTCTGGGGTTCCAAGGGAGTCAGGGTGGCTAACCAGCTCTTCATCCGCGCCCCAGTCTCTGCTTACAATGTTCTGATCTCAGTACAAACAGAGATGTGGCTCTCTCCCTCCCACACGAGAACACCTTGTCTAGAAGGGACCAACAGAATAGCAAACACTACGGGTTTGCCCCCAGGAGACGGGGCATCCCACTCAGCCCGAGCAGCCAGCCAGGGCTCAGGGGAAGACAGAAATGGAAAGAGACATAGACATCCCCTAGGGCCACAGCCCTGCCCGACGCCCACACCCAGCTGCCCCTCTTACCGAATGGTGGGCTGGTCTCCACTCAGCTGCTTAAACCTCCGGTGGAGCTGTTCGATCTGGTCTGAGGAGACTTGAGAAGTAGCAGGAAAGAAAGAAAGAAAGAAAAGTGAGAACGGCATCACTGACCTCTGAACTCAGAGCTACAGGAGGCAGCCCGGAGCCTCAGCCCCACCCTCCTGCTCCATTCATCCCCTCCCATCCAGGCCCAGCTGGAGGTAGAAGCCAAGAAGGGGTCTGCCGTCTTCCTGGTAACACAGCCAGGATCATCAGCCTGCACCCTTAGCTATGATACGATTACTAACATCAGCAGCTCCAGGGACAGTACACGCGTGAATCAGGTCAATGTCTCCTTCCTCAGCGCATTAAGGAGATCGCATTGGCTTGCCCGACTTCCTCCCCTCCCCACTCCTGAAGACAGGCGTTTCCCCTCGCCCCCCCAACGGAGAAAGGGGCTTCTTGTAGTCACATGTGAAGAGACAGAGGAGGAGCAAAGGGTTCAGGCTGGCGCCGGAAGTGATTTGGGAGACTTATAGTGAGAAGTGTACAGACAACCTGGTAAAGAAAGGGAAGTGGAAGGAAAAGGAACTGAATGTTGACCACTGCTGCTGTGGATCATGTGTTTATAGATTCCCCCAATCATTTCATTTTTTTTTCTTCCAGTTTTACTGAAGTATAATTGACATACAGGACTGTATCAATTTAAGGTGTACCGCATCATGATTTGACTCACACAGAGCATAAAATGATGACCATAGGATATTTAGTGAGCATCCCGCATCTCATATGCAAAATTAAATAGAAAAAAATTTTTTTCCTAGTGACGAGCACTGTTAGGATTTACTCTCTTAACAACTTTCACATACAACATTCTGCAGTATTAATTCTATTTATCATGTTGTACGTTACATCCCCAGTATTGATATAATTGGACGACTGTACCTTTTGAACATCTTCATCCAATTCCCTCTCCTCCCACCCCTAATTGTTTTAGAAAACCTAAGTACAGTTTTGTTTCGTTTTTTTTTAATTACCGTTTGGGGCAGGTGGGCCATGTCTCCCCCACAACTAAGCCTGGACCTGGTGGGTTCCACCCACATGTCAGTGCTGATTTTATGACATGCACTGTACTCAACACTTACAGGGACCTTCTCACTTCCCCCTCGTAACCCTGTAAGTGAGTGGATACTTTCTTACTGTGTTTTGTCATTTGAAAAGCACAGCGAGGAGAGTGCTATGATCACACAACGGGTAGAGCGGGGATCTGACCCCAAGTCTGTGCATTCAAAAGCTCACCCTTAACTGCTACACAGATCACCCTGTTTTCCTGGTGTTCAAGGCCCCCAGGCCTGTGCCTGGGGACTATATACAGCACAGGGAAAATGTTCCAAAACAGTGGCTGGGTTGGGGAATGGCTCTCTCTCCCCACCACCATCCTCTCAGCATTTCCCATCCCTCAAGCATCTATCTCTTCCTGTTCCACAGGCAGCTCATTTCTGGGACCAACTTCATCTCACTTTTTTTTTTTTTTAAAGCTTCAGGCTCAAGCTGTGATCTCCTCAAGAATCTGCAACTCAGAATTCTCAAGCTTCTCTAGATGCAGTTGCTGGCTAGAAAATATTCATTGTGACAACCAACCCATCCCGGAGGCTTGCTCTGTGCTGGTGTTGCGGGGGACGGGTGCCCGTCTCCACACATTAGCTCATCTGTTCCCCATGACACTCTGGGAGGAGAATACATCCCCATTTTACAGATGTAGAACTGACACTCAGAAAAGTCAGGTAATCCCTGGGGACAATGACCACCTTTGGGGAGGAAAATACAGCCATTTACATCACATGTACGTTAGCAAGGATACACACGTTCTCTGTGGTCTAGCCATTCCACTCTTCGACATGGAGCCAACAGAAATGCACACCTGTCCTCATCAGAGGACATGAAGAAGGATTTCACAGCAGGACCATCTGAAGAAGCCTAAACTGGAAATTCCCCAAATGCCCTGTAATGGCATAATAAAGTGTGTGGTAGACTCAAACAAGGGAACAGTATACAGCAGTGAAAATGAACAAACACGATGAATAGTAACTTGAGTGAGTTTCAAAACATAACAACAAGCAAAAGCAGCCAGGCATGAAAGAGCACACACGATGGGATTCCATTTACATAAAACGGGCAAAACTCATCTACAGTGCTGGAAGTCAGGAGAGAAAGGTTACGTACTACAGGGTTCCATGAACATGACATTCTGGAAAAGCAAAATTCTGAAGACCGTTAACAAGATCAGGGGTTACCAGGGGTTGAGGGGGGTGAGGGATGAGCTGGTGGCGCCCAGAGGATTTTTAGGGCAGTGAGACTGCTCCGTGTGATACTGGAATTACGGACACATGTCATTACACATTCCTCCAAACTCATAGAACGTAGGACACCCGGAGAGAACCCTAATGTGAACCACAGGTTCTGGGTGATGATGTGCCAGTGCAGGTCCATCAACGGTAACAAATGTCCCAACCTGGGGGGGGGGTGTTGACAGTGGGGTAGGCTGTGCATGTGTGGGGAACAGGGGTACATGAGTCATCTTGGTACCTTCCCTGAATTTTGCTGTTAACCTAAAACAGCTCAGAAAAATAAAGTCTTAATTTTTAAAAAAAATCAGGACAGCAGTTACCCTTGATGGAGTAGTGACTTGAACGGGGCATGAGGGGGCTTCTGGGCACTGGGGATGTTTTATTTCTTGACCCAGGTGAAGGTGACACAGACGTGTTCTCAGAAAGTTTTTGGAACTCTATGTTTACGTGTGATGCATTTTTCTGTACGTGATCTTGCGATAAAACATCTACCCGAGACGTTCAGTAATTCTACTTAGAAAGGATTTATCTTGAAAGAATAAATCCAGCAGGTACAGAAAGATGAATACGTAAGTGTGTTCACTGTTGTGTTCTCCCTAATAGTTTAAAAACTGAACTCAACCTAAGTTCCCACCAAAAGCAGATTACGGGATATTTAGCCAATTACAAACAAAATGCTGCCTTTAAAAGTGACAGTTGTGTATTTAACGTGAACATACACTCCTGACATAATGTTGTCTAAAAACAGCGTGCTATGAAAACAGCATGACTCCATGTTGGGAAGAAAACATCTAAATATACACAAATGTATGTAAGTAATGAAAGAAAGTCAACTTGCTTTCCCAAAATAATAGCAATTATCTCTCAATACTGGGATTAAAGACTATGTTTGTTTTGCTTTGATTCATCTATATTTTCCAAATCTTCTCTAACATACAATGTGTATTTATTAGTCATGTAACGAATATTGTGAGCACACAATACAGTCCCATATGGGACAGCAGAGCGACTGCAAAACTATTGTTAACGATGAATCATTCACTGGCAAGCACTACGTCCTGGGGACATGTGTGCTTATTTTATCCCTTCCATGACCCTACAGCCGACAGACAGACTATTCCCATTTTACAGAAGAGCACACTGAGGTTCTGAGGGACAGGTAACTCGCTTAAGGTCACTCAACTTGAAAGAGGCAGACCCAGGATTTGAACTGTCTGGAGGAACGTTGGTGGTTTAGTTTTGTTTTGTTTTTTAACTGACACCCCACACTGTCTCCCTCTGGGTGATCAGATTAGACTGGCCAGTTAAGAGTTCCCAGCTCTGATCGACAGATTAAAAAAAAAATACACTGATCTGCTGCAAAATACTGATCAGAAATTGCAGCCAAAGATGTACTCCTAAACCCCCTCTATGAAAGATGAGCACATTGTGCTCAGTGAAAGAGGCCAGTCACAAAGCCCACGCATTGTAAGATCCCATTTATGAGAAATTCAAACCCAAGAGACAGAAAGTAGACCAGTGGTTGCCTGGGGCTGGGGAAGGAGAGAGGGAATCACTGCTAATAGCTGTGGAGTTTCTTTGGGGGGTGGGGGTGGGGGGAGAAAATGTTCTAAGATTAGATTGTTACACAACCCTGTGATTATACTAAAACCTGAGTACCCTTTAAAGGGGTGAAATGCAGGGTTTGTGAGTTGTATCTCAACAAAGACATTAGAGACGGGAACACTGAGACTCGCCCAAGGTCACACAGATAGGACGAAGTGTATAAACCATCAAAGACCAGGTTTCTCTAATGAAGAGTTTCCAGCTAACTGCATCCCAAGTGCATATATACACGACACACATGCACTTCTCTGTCCTGCCTGACTGAAAGCAGAAAAATGAGGACACCCGCCCCAACTGTGGTCCCCTTTTTGGCACCCAAATCCCCAAAGCCAAGAGCTCGCCCCTTAGCTAAGCTCCAGGCGCCCTCAGCTCCATTCCCCGGGCCCCCCAACAGGGTCTGTCCCTCGAGCACCTGACACACGTGTGCCTGTATCACACCCTGAAAGACCCTGTCTGTTGCTCCCCTCACGGGTTCCAGAGATGGAAGCTTTCCCAGTTTCCCTGCTCCTCACTCTGAGCCCTCTCTCCAGGCCCCTGTGAGGCCACAGTTGCCAAGGGAACAAGAGGCAGAGACAACTCGGGGCCTGGCATCGCAATGTCCTTATTTTGGGTTTTAGATTTCAACCTGAGGGAAATGTACACCCTACCACGGGGCTGGTGAGAGTTTAATCTGCCCAATTTTGGAGGGGGCGGGAGTGACTTGTCACTTTGTATCAAAAGCTTAAGCAAAAAAACATATGCCTGCCGGGTCCAATACAGAGACACCAGCCACATGTGGCTACTAAGATGTGCCGAAGTGTAAAAAACACACAGGCCTTCAAAGACTTAGTATGAAAAAAATGTAGACTGTCTTAAAAATCTTGATACTAATTACGTGCTGAAATATTTTAGACATAACGGGTTTAATACAACATATTATTTAAAGTGATTTCACCTGTTAACTTTTTTTTAATGTGGCTAATAGAAAATCTAGAATTATATTACACCTATAGCTCGTTGAAAATTTAGAATTGTTCCACCTCACAGTATATTTGTACTGGGCAGTGCTTGGGATATGTGCTCTGAACCAGAAACTTGATTCCTAGGAACGATTCCCGAGGAACCAAGACAAGTGTACAAAGAT